CAAAAGCATTTAGTATTCGGAACCGGCTTAAGCCTACTGATCATTGTTAAACTGGATAGTCAGCGATCAGATAGGTCAATACGAAGCCCAGCCAGAAGGGGCACTGGCATCCAGCAGAGTCACTGATACCTCGTCCATTCTTTCATAACAAGAACAAAGTTCTTTGCTGTCCCTATTATTTGCGAGTCATTGACCTACTACTGGTTTCACGACTGATTGCACCGAAGCAACGCGGAGTTAATTACTTTCTCAATGGAAATCATGGTTAAGAAAAAGATGATCCTTTGAGCGGATTCGATCCCTACACCTCCGGAGTTCATAGTCGATCTGTTTGGCAGTGTGCTACCAGTGATCGGAAATTAAATTATCGTCGTAGTTTTTCGAATATCACTGAGCCGTTTAAATGACCCTCTAGAGATGTGGGTGCAAAAACCAGTGCCGTGCAGCATGGTTTGATGAGGTATATAGTTAATGTGTTACGTACTAAGTATGTCAGTAGATAAATCATTAATCTGAGAAACTCAAAGGCTACTCGAAAAGCAGCTTTAACCAACTTATTTTTGTTGCTCCAACCACAACGGTTACGGATAAGACTATCATCAAAAGCCAGAGCCAAGCTTTATCTAAAGACCAGGTCGGTTCAACATGAATCGGAAGTTCTCTTCAGATATTGTGTTTCTGTTTGTGCGGTCATTCCCTTGACCCGATTGCAAAAACACCGTTATCTGGTCTGTATTGTCCTCTGTTTTCGCAGCTCAGGAAGGCGCCTATTACGGTTTCGCGGAAGGAGCAATCCTCCCCCAGAAGTAGCTTTCCCTCTACCTTTTTTTCAGTTTACATTCTGGCCTCCAGCCTAACATCTGCGTTGTTGCGGCACCGACAAATCAGGCTCACTAGCTGGAGTATATGGGTGTTGCTCGGTCAGTTTCTAGAATAAGACAAATTTCACTCTTCTAATCTCCACATCTGCAGAGGTCATCTGCTTTAAGAAATGAATAGAGTTGTTGCTTTCGTGGCCCTGCCATTTAACCCTTATTATGATTCGTAGCCAACGCTACGATGCGCGGTTTAACCGTCGTTTTTGCTCCTTCGTTGGAACAATTGTTTCCATGCCATATTTGCTCAGATGTCAACAAATCAACATGTTTATTGTTTGATTAACAAATCTTTGATTTTTGTTTCAAATTACTTTTGAGAAAGCAATCTTCAGTTATGATGTTCTTCAACCGATGAAAGGGATACTCACTTTTCCAGATGAAGATATGTCTTGTGCTTATTGGATTGTCCCATAAAGTTTTTTATTCTCACATGCTAATAAAATGGCCATCGTTTTGCAATTTGTAGTTCCAGCCTTTGCACTACTCGATCAAGTTTGATAAAGGCGCGCTGCAGTTATTTACAGAATGCCATTTAGCGCTATAAATATAAGTTTGTCTTTACATATTTTGCATTCCACTTCGATCATAAATCATCGCTGCCCTGGCCATTTATGGAATGTTACACCTAAATACAGAAGGGTTAAAATTTTATTCTTGAATAGCATGAATGTGATTAGGAAAGGCCCATACTTTCGTAGAAACCGTGTTCAGTACGTTTCCCATGTACCTTGCACTGATGCTTCGTAACTGCATGACATTCGGTTCCGCCGTATACCTATATACCGAAATTTAAACTCTGTACTTACGCTGACTTTAGGTAACTGCAGCGTCGTCACTCCCTATGCTGTCAATTTGGCAGAGAAATTCGGATGGTTACCGCATCACTGGGGTTGATCAGGACTTGGTACGATTGTAATTCAATTTTGTTTAGTACTACTGACAAAATATAACCCTGGTGTTCTTGGGACCTATCGATATCTGTTATTTGTTTGGTACTATTTTAATTGTGTTTCAAAGCTCTTAATGTAGAGTGATGAATTTTGGATTTTTGTTTCTTGGGACGATTGCAAAATTGATACGATAAATCCTATTAACAAAATAATCATCGGATTATTCATCATCGGTCATCTTCCATGACCGCTTCTAATTTCGGGTCGCGGAGTTTAATGACATTTTTATAGTAAGGTGTTCGTCTTTTGGATATAAATGTTTTCAGGCAGTCATTTTTACTTAGCCTAGCCCTGATTATGCTACGGTCCATGTAGCGAATCGCGTCGGCATTAAGCCGTTCTACCATCTGTTGCATTTGGTGCCCTCAACCATTAATCATTCAAACATTTGTCATAATTTTGTTTTGTTTTCTTCTGTTTCCTTTTCACGTGTATGGTATGAATATTCTGTTTACTATATTGTTCGTGTAAACTGTTATGATTTTTATAAGTTACCTGAAAAGTTACTCTAAATTCTGAATGAGGTGAGGAATGAATCCAATGAGGTCGGAATATGCAGGACACTCTTCTCAAGCTTTCACAGCATGACGAATCTCTCAGAGCGCAGAGTCTCAACTGTAAATTGTCTTTAAAACCCGTCGTCGCCCGTAAATCGCGTTGAGGTAGTGGAAATACGACCTTGGGGAAAGTCTTACCCTTCATTCAGGTGAATACGCTGAACAAGAATATACACATATAATGTGCAATGTACATATGCATGTGAATGTATATTTTCGCTCAGAGTATTTATCACAATATAAGGTAGGAATTCTAAGTAATCCTTCCTGGTCTTAACAGGACAGCTTTCTAGTAACGCTCGATGAGTCTCTGAGAGTTTCAGATTAATATATTTTATAGATATATTTTGTATAATCTAATGCATATGTTATTGCTGACATTATTTTTTGCGCTTGTTGCATAGTATTCCTTGAAGACTGATCTGGCTCTATCCGAAACATGAGGATTTTGGGCAATAAGCTTTATATTATAATTAAACGCTTTGAAGATGTTAACGTTGAATGCATATATCATGGTTTAAGCTGAGCAAAAATCATAGTCGAGAGGTCGCACTATTTTATTTCATTAAAACTTGAGTAACAGCTGCCACTGAACAAGGTGACCGGCTAAAATTCACATTGTAAATACAGAATTATTTTTCTCAAATTCGTTTTTTGAATTTCTTTGACACCAATTCACGTTGACTTCCTTTCTCATGTATGTCTGGTTTAGTCATTAGCCTGGTGCCCTGACGCGTCTCCTGCTGTTTGCTGTTGTTCACCACGGAATACGGCCTTATTGAATTCTGCTACGTACTGCTTTGTACCGTTGTTTCCGGTATACGGCAGACATTTCATCACTGCGTCTTCGAATTCAATGTATTGAGCTTGTAGACGTCGAGACCGGAATCATTGCAAAGTCTTTTAAACGGTCAGAGA